GGCGGCGGGGCATCCCAGGCGCGCCTGGGATGTATACCCGGCGTACAAGACGACCCCCGATTTTTGGGGGATGTTTTTTAACATCAGAGGTCGTCTTGTACGCCGGAATATACGGTAATAAATATTTTAGACCCAAATGACCATGAGGGTTCCCTTTGTAGCTGGCTAATGTTAATAGAAATAGCTATTTATCAAAAAAAAGTCTGGGGTCTTTTTCATCCTATGTGGGATGTATACCCGGCGTACAAGACGACCCCCGATTTTTGGGGGATGTTTTTTAACATCAGAGGTCGTCTTGTACGCCGGAATATACGGTAATAAATATTTTAGACCCAAATGACCATGAGGGTTCCCTTTGTAGCTGGCTAATGTTAATAGAAATAGCTATTTATCAAAAAAAAGTCTGGGGTCTTTTTCATCCTATGAAATTTGATTTCAGTTGTTTTTTGCTTTGTAAATGGAGTTTTAGAAATATTGAAAGATCTATTTATAGTCACAGTGGTTTATTATCAGTGTGATTTTTCCCTTCATATATCTGCCATCATGCCGAAACAACAGTTGAGGAACATATGTCATCTGCTTATATGGGAGAGAGAGAGACTGTGTTGAGTTTGCTTCTAGGAAACGCAAGTTTTGATTTTCAAGGAAAAAAACAAAACCATGTTGGGTTTGGTTTAATATTTACAACCTACAGGAGCTTGGCATATTTCACTCTTTCAGATGTTGCTGCTCACTTGTAACAGATAAAAATGAAAAATAATTAAATTCTTCTTTGCTCTTTTAGTTATTTTCCTGCCTCTAGGTCTATGAGGGAATCAAAATGTAAAAACATATACATTTGCCTTCAGTGTTGTTGAAATATATGTGGCCACTTATCCCCATTCATCCTCACTCCAATCAGTCTCAGCAGCTACCAGGAAGCCACTATGTGCCGTTGAGCCTCTGTAGACACATAGGCAAGGACTAGTCAGTTTCTACTGGCACCTCTATGAAGTATGCCAGAAAATGACTTTGCACTTGTGATTATGGAGACATCAATAGCAGTTCTCGCGGTATTTCCCCGTTACCCAAACTGGAACGAAACGTGTCCCTTTCTCAGGTTTTGTTTTAACACTGGAACCAACTGTTAAGTCACTTACAAATAAAGATGAAACCTATAACAAAGGATGTGGAAAATCATTCCAATAGTACACGAAGGTGATTGCCAAATTTAAAATAAACTAAGGCCACATGGTGTATGAACTATATAACATCTGTAGCTAGTTAATGGGATCTCATAGTCACAGTAACACAGATAACGCAGAATACAGGCCAAAATACTTGACTGCGCAATCTGCTTCCAATCTAATAACTTTGAACGAGTTTTAAATAGAGCTGGGCACAACATTTGAGGAAAGATGCACAATTGGACATTAAAGGGTTTGGAAAAGGCTCTGCTTTGATCAACCGACAATACATATGAACTGCTGCAACCACCAGGCAGGCAGTCCCATCATTTTGCCATCTTAGAAAAAGGTGTCAATATATGATATAAAGGAAGATGATTGTACAAATAGTGTTCTTGGCCTGGGGCTTAACAGTGTCTGTCCGTGCATTCCTTCTTGGCACTAGCCAGTCACATTCAAACACATCTGTATCACTGGGATAATAATTTTGAAATAAAAGGCTTGGAGGTATCAAGTATCAGATCAGTCTTTAAAATATTGTGGGTCTAGAACACTTACCCAGCGTTGCATATTTTAGTCTATGCATGGAGAAAGGATAGTGCTCTGGAAACCTTTCCACTCTATACTTCTGTCCTCTTAACTTAGACTTCAAAGGAGGAAATTTAGCAGGAAAATGGAAAATATGGTAACATGGGCAGGGTTCGCTTACTCTTCCACAATGCTACAACCCCCTGTATTTAAAAGAATCAATAATTATTTATTTTTAATATAACCATAATAAAATACACCAATATAAGTCTTCCATTAAAATTGCAACTCAAAGCAATAAAATACAGCACAAACAAAAAGCAAGTCCCAGACAACATAAAACAGCTTAGAAAACAGAAAACCAAGAAAACAGAACCAGTTTTTACTCCTGATTTCCAAAAGAAACTACGCACAATCAAAGGTCTGTTCAAGTGTGATGCATCAATCTAACCAGAGCTCTGTGTTGCAAGCTTTAGCAACAACCTATGGCCAAACTCTTAATAATGGGGTGGGGGTGTCCAATAATCAGCCATTTTCTCTGGCAGCATCTCCCAATTCACCATATTTCTGTCCCAGCCTCACCCCACCACTGCAGGGCACTCACTCAAGTCCAGATCAGCTGTAGATACAGGCCCAGACAGCTTGCAAACTGGTCAAGATGCTGGTCAGCAGTGAGAGGCAAAGGTGGTATTAAGCCACCTTTTCAGCTCCCAAATTCTGTGTCCAACAGGAAACAACCTGGTGCTAGACAGAGGAGCCATGCCAGATACAACAGCCTGCAGGAGCCATTTCAGGACCATTGGAGCGATAGGCTGTAAAGACATTTTCGTCCCACCCTCTTCTACCTGACATCTGACCCACATCTGCTACACTGGGTGCCAGAATAAAAACTTACTAGCACTTTGATACCACCTTTACCTCTCATCTATCGACAGAATCTTGGTCAATTCCCAGACCATCTAGGACTGCACAGCCAGAGGGTTCCCCTATTTAAGAAGCCTCCTTCCCTGCCCAAAATTGATGGCTATGTGGCTAGTTTGGGGCAATTTGCATCAGGGTGGCCAGAAGCCTGGCCCACAATGCTAGCTGTCATCAGCATTCTGGATAAAACATCACGCCAGTCCTGATCATAAAACACTAATTGCCTCTCCAACCCATGGAAGAAGGGGGAAGGGCATTAATATGTATGTCACAGCTTATGTCATATTAGGGCTGAGCAAAATAGATTAGGCTGTTGCTTAATGTATGAAGTCACAATTGGAGGAAAGATGGACCAGGATCCTGGGTATAGAGCAGAAAAAGGCTTCTAAAGCAAGGAGGATCATCCCTGACTACTGGGCTCTGGGGATAAGTTCCAGGGAACCCAACAGAACAAAGAGGGGAGACTTGGAGGATCACAAATCCCTCCCCAAGCCTGAAGGTGTTTCCTGAGAGCCCCGGGGAAAGAAGCTGGGCTTCTGACCAGCCTCTTTTCCTCACAAGATGACCAAGAGGACTTGGACAATTCCCAGCAAGAGAGGATTCGGACTCAGAGGTCTCAAGAGTTCTTCAGACCTTATGGAAGGCAAGTAGCAAAAGGCTTCACCAAAGAGTGTCTGTGTGCCCAAAGGCCTAGGGACTCTGGAGACAGGAGGAAAAGGCTCACAGCATCATCATCCTAGAGCTGGGAACAGTCAAGTGTGCTCGCTGAAGGTTCCAGCTGAAACCCTAATGAGGAACCATGTTCTTGTCCAGTCAGATAGCACAATGATTGTCGAATATTGAAACAACCAATGGGGAACAAGGAGTCTGACCTGCATTCTGAAGCAATAGGGAATAACCAAGGGGATGGTACAGTTGTTCCTCCCCCCGCCTCCAAATCAATCCACATTGCTTGTCTGGTGGCACCTCTGAGAGTGCCAAATCTGGGTGAATTGCTCAAAACCAGGGCCACCTACAGCCCAAGACTGGGGTTCTTCCCTACAAGGCACCAAACCAGCCACACGGAACACTTCAGCTATCACTCTGGCCAGCAAGCAAAACAATGGACTCACAAGCAAAACTGTTTAAACACCCTAGGTTGTTCTCTGTGCCACAACCAGCCCTACATTTATACAGGTGAAAGATTATAAAACCCAATCTCACCAACTCCAAATAGGTTCTCCCGGTTCCAAAGGAACAGCCACAGTCCCAAGTCAATTTATACCTTGGATCTTACCCAAAAGAGCATGCTGTGTCAATCCTAAAATCTAAAGGTTGATTAATAAAAAAAGAAAGAAAAGGTTGAGAGTGAGATTGTTACAGCTCTGCTAAGTGCCTGCATCAAGAACTTGATGATTTACATATCTAATGTATTTTAACAAACTGCCAACTTAAAAGTCTCTGTCAGGATGGGCCATCAAATCCTTCTGGACCCTCTGTCCTTCCCAGTGGTGCTTCTGGAGCGGAGGGCACGAGTGAAGACAAGATGGAGGCACCGTCATGATACTTCTATAACCCTGTCCATGCAGAGGGAAAACCCATTCCTCTTCTGGGTGCTGGTCCCTCCCAAAATGGGCTGATCACATGACTCACCAACCAGTTTCCTTCCTTTTTAGGCAACAAGCCATGTAGTCCCCGGATATGTTCTTCTCAGGCAAGGGCCCATTGTGTGCTTCTCATGTGTCATTTGGCAACATTTCAGAGCCATTGTCCATCCAGGATTGAGCAATCCCCAGTCCCAGCAGAAAACATTTAAAATAC